GTTTTCATATCCCGCAACAGGAAAGCTCATCCCTGCCCTCACAAGAGCCTGGCCTTAGCCTGCGCCGGCGGCCCGTCCACCTGGTCCACATGCCCTTGGAGGGGGCATCACAGCCCCGGTGCCTCTGGTCCTGTGTCCTCCTGCCCCGACCTGGGTCACGGGTGGAGCAGGATAGAGATGGGCCCTCGTGCCCCGGGCTCCCGCCTCCCCTGCCCGCTGCGCTGCTTCTCCACGGCCCCAGCACCTGAGCCAACCGGGGAGAAGGGGGCGCTGGGTCCTCTGGCTCTGCTCCAGGCCTTGGGTCTCTGCTGGGTCGCTCACCAGGCTGCGGCCCTCCCGCACCCGCCCACCGGCAGCCTCTACACTCGGGCATCAGTCCTGCCTGCTCCTGCCTGGCTCCTCTGTACTGCCGCCGGGCTGGAGACCCGCTCACTCGCGGCTCTTGGGCTCTCTCCCTTGGACTCCTGACGTCTCGCTTGCAGCACTGCCTGCACCCCTCATCGTCCCTGACCCTGGGGAGGTGCTGGGCCGGGGCCTGCATGTCAGGCTGCTGGCTTGTACACCACCGTCCAGACCCCGCTTTGCTCTGTAACAGTCCCTCGGGCATCCCAGGGTGCCCCCTTCCAGCCCCAGGGAGTGGTCCATGCTGGGCCCAGTGCAGAGCACTGCCCGTGCCCTCTGGAGCCCTCGGGGTGGTGGTGATGGTGGGGGACGGATCTGCGCCCACCTGATCATCATCAGTCACCAGCGCCGCACAGCAGCGGTGCTAATTAGAGCTCAGCTCCAGGCTCCCGTGCCCCCAGGGACAGCTCCTGTGCTGCGGCTGCAGGGAGAGACCGCGTAGGGCTGGGGGAAAACGTGCCAGGGAAGGGAAGGGGAGGGGATGAGAGAGGCACCTCCTGGGGAGTGGCGGCGGGGCGGGGAGCCTTGGGGTGGCTGGCAAGGATGCGCAGGGGCACAGTGTCCTCGGCGCCCTGCTGGCCCCTGCCTGCGTGCTGCCAAGGCCAGTGGGGTTTGGCTTGTCTGTGTGTCCCATCCCAGGTCACAGGGATCCTGATCCCTGAAGCTCCTGCTCAGTCCCTGGCAGGATCCCTGGCCTAGCGCAGGGCACGTCTGCACCCCAGCGCATTGCACTGGGGTTGGCACTGTTGTGCTCGGCCCCGGCGCGGCGCCCGCTCCTCCCCTGGCCGCAGCATTGGGCTGCCTCCAGACCCGATCTGCAGAGCGGGACCGTAGCACGGATGTGAGGAGACCTGGCGCGCTGGGCCCTGCACCAGCCTGCAGCGGGGGAGCTGTGCGATGGGAGGGGCTGCCCCGTGTCTGCGCTGTGGTGGGGGGGCTGGTGCA